AAATAGTTCAGCTGGAATTCTATCTCCTCCACTAGCTTTGTTTCAAGTAATACTTCTTCAGGCCCACTTAACTTCACACTCTAGGATGTTGGCTCTAGCTGAGTGACCACATCACCATGGTTATCTGGGTCATTAAGATTTTTTTTTGTATGGTTCTTCTGTGTATTCTTGCCACCTCTTCTTAATCTCTTCTGCTTCTGTTAGGTCCTTACCGTTTCTGTCCTTTATCATGCCCATCCTTGCATGAAATGTTCCCTTGGTATCTCTAAGTTTCTTGAAAAAGTCTCTAGCCTTTCCCATTCTATTGTTTTCCTCTATTTCTTTGAATTGTTCACTTAAGAAGGCCTTCTTATCTCTCCTTGCTATTCTCTGGAACTCTGCATTCAGTTGGGAATATCCTTCCCTTTCTCTCTGCCTTTCACTTTTCTTCTTGCCTCAGCAATTTGTAAAGCCTCCTCAGACAAACACTTTGCCTTTGTGCATTTCTTTTTCTTTGAGATGGTTTTGGTCACTGCCTCCTGTTCAATGCTAAGAATCTCTTTCCATAATTCTTCAGGCACTCTGTCTACCAGATCTAATTCCTTGAATCTATTCATCACCTCTACCATATAATCATAAGTGATTTGATTTTGGTCATACCTGAATGGCCTAGTGGTCTTCCCTACTTTCTAAAATTTAAGTCTGAATTCTGCAAAAAAGAGCTCATGATCTGAGCCATAGTCAGCTCTAGGTCTTGTTTTTGCTGACTGTATAGAGCTTCTCCAATTTCAGCTGCAAAGAATACAATCAATCTGATTTCAGCATTGACCATTTCCATGATGTCCATGTATAGAGTCATCTCTTGTGTTGTTGGAGGAGAGTGTTTGCTATGACCAGTGTGTTCTCTTGACAAAACTCTATTAGTCTTTGCATTGCTTTATTTTGAGCTCTAAGGCCAAACTTGCCTGTTTCTCCAGGTATCTCTTGACCTCCTACTTTTGCATTCCAATCCCCTATGATGAAAAGGACATCATTTGTATGTGTGTGTGTGTGTGTGTTCTAGATGGTCTCATAGGTCTTCATAGAACTTAGGGTCAACTTCAACTTTTTTGGCATTAGTGGTTGGGCCATAGACTTGGATTATTGTGATGTTGAATGGTTTGCCTTGGAAATGAACTGAGATCATTCTGTCATTTTAGAGACTGCACCCAAGTACTGCAGGCTCTTTTGTTAATTATGAGGGCTACTTCATTTTTTCTAAGGGATTCTTGCACGGTAGTAGATACAATGATCATCTGAGTGAAATTCGCCCACTCCTGTCCATCTTAGTTCACTGATTTCTAAGATGTTGATGTTTACTCTTCCATCTCCTGCTTGACCACATCCAATTTAATTTGGTCCATGGACCTAACATTCCAGGTTTCAAAGCAATATTATTCTTTACAGCATCAGACTTTACTTTCAATGCCAGGCACATCCACAACTGAGCATCATTTCTCCTTTGACACAGCCACTTCACTCTTTCTGAAGCTATTTGTGATTGCCTTCTACTTTTCACTGGTAGCACACTGGACACCTTCTGACCTGGGGGACTCATCTTCCAATTTCATATCTTTTTTGCCTTTTTATACTGTTCATGGTGTTCCCATAGCAAGAATACTGGAGTGGTTTGCGATTCCTTCCCCCAGTGGACCATATTTTGACAGAATTCTTCACTATGACCCATCTGTCTTGGGTGGCCCTACAGGGCACAGCTCATAGCTTCATTGAATTACACAAGAGTCCCTTCACCACAACAAGGCTGTGATCCATGAAGGAGCACATCACTATACACTTATCCAACATATCAAGTCCTGTGGCTTCTACTGCCAATGATACATTCCATTTCCACAACCCATTTCAGGTTCCTATCATTATGTGTACCACTACAACAGCTTTTCTCACTGATTTCCCTGCCTCCTCTCCAATATATTTTTCATAGAGGAGACATAGAATACTTTCTGTACAATAAATCAAATTTTTTCACTCCCCAGGTTAGAAATATTCAGTATCTTTCTCACTGTGCTTAGAAGAAATTTTAAGCCCTTCATTATGCCTGTAAGTCTCTATATAATATAACTCTTTTTTGTTTAGTTTTTTTTAGTTTATTTATTTTTTATTGAAGGATAATTGCCTTACAGAATTTTGCTGTTTTCTGTCAAACCTCAACATTAATCAGCCATAGATATACATAATTACTTCTCTAAATATACCTTTCTGTTGCCAATCTGGCCCCTTTTTCATCCTTAGGATCTTTGCACATGCTTTTCATTTTTTCAAGAACACTGACACTGTTCACTTCTCATTTTGTCCAGTTAACCCTCGTTCAAGTTCAAATTATACTTTAATGAATTTTTAAAAATTGAAGTATAGTTGATTTACAATATTATATTATTTCTGGTGTATGACATAGATTCAATATTTTTATAGATTATACTCCATTCAAAGTTACTGTAAAACATTGACTATATTTCTCATGCTGTACCATATATACTTGTTAGCTTATTTATTTTATACATAAGCTTGTGTTTGTATCTCCTAATCTCCTACCCTTGTCTTGTCCCTTCCCCTTGCCTTCTCTCCACTGGTAACCACTGGTTTGTTCTCTGTATCTGCTACTGTTTCTGCTTTTTTATATTTATTAATTTGCTAAGTTTTTAGTTTCCACATATAAGTAGTAACACAAAGTATTTATCTTTCTCTGTTTGGTTTTTTCACTAAGCATAGTACCCTTCAGGTCTATTCATGTTGTTGAAATAGCAAAATTCATTCCTTTTTATGGATGAGTAATATTCCATTCCAAATCTTTATCCATTTATTAGGTTGCTTCCATATCTTGGCTATTGTAAATAATGTTGCTATGAATATTGGGGTACAATATATCTTTTTGAATTAGTGTTTTCATTTTCTTCGGCTATATACCCATAAGTGGGATTGCTGGAGCATACGGTAGTTCTATTTTTAGTTTTTTTGAGGAACCTCCATACTGTTTTCCAAAGAGGCTGAAGAATTTACATTCCCACCAACAGTCTACTAGGGTTTCCTTTACACTATATCCTCACCAACATTTGTTATTTGTGGTCTTTTTGATCATAGCCATTCTGACAGGCGTGAAGTGCTATCTCATTGTGGTTTTGATTTGCATTTCTCTGATGATTAGCAACTTTAAGCATCTTTTCATGTGGTTGTTTCTCTTACATATTAATCCTTTAGGGAACACTTCCAACCACCTAACTTTGTCAAATCTCAGCATTTACAGTCATTCATAGAACTTTGTTTTTCTCCTTGTTATTGTTTCAGTCTTAAGATAAGTTGATTATTGCCTATGTCTCCCTTACCATAGTACATACTCTGTGAGGGTAGAGAAAGTAATTGTTTCTGTTTATTATAACACTCCTATTTTCAAACACAGTACCTGGAACATAGCAATTACTCAAGAAGTATTTGCAGAATGAATGAATTACTGATAAAGGTCATGCTACTGAGAAAACACTATCAGTCCCATGAAACTATATTAATCAAATCATTAAAGAAAAGGTATAATCTAAAAGAATAACCATGTGGACTTAGTTATTGGCTTTGCTTATATATTACAAACTATGAAAATGGTCTAAATATGTGATTCTTATCCCCTAATTACAACATGTAAAATAAGGCCAACCTCTCCATCACCATCCCCACACTCCACCACACACATAGGATAATTTAAAAGTTCAGCAAAAGTATGCAAAAGGAAGCCCAGAGTTGTAATTTTAGGTAGGAGTAAAGGTGACAAAAATTGTTCTGCAAGAAAAAAGGGAACTTTCTACTGAGAAAGAAAGGGGAGGGGAAGAAGGGTGAAGGAAGGACAGGAGTTAATTAAAAGCTTGGGGATTCTTTGTAAAAAGGAAAATGCCTAAAATTAAATTTCAGACTGTTAATGTTACAGTGTAAATCCTTCCATGTTCCCAAGCCTTCAACAATGTCTGCTATGTTAACTAGCTTAGATCAAGGCTAAGCTACCACAAAAGAAGAGAGAGAGAGGCATAAGAGCCATCAAGCCACAAGGACCATTAAGGAGGTTAGCCGTAGGTTTCTTTCTACTGGATTATATCTGTTTATACTTGTATAGCATTTATCTAACATCACTTGGGCTGTACAATTCACTGCAAAACATCTTACTTGTTTTTGAATTTATAGGAATATGACAGGATGCCACATAAAACGTATGCCAGATGAACTCCTGCCTCTCCCAACTTCCTCGTTCCCACCCTTCCAGCTATAGTCACATCTCCACTTTGGGTCTTGGATTCAACATCTAACTTCAGTCTTCCTCATGATATTCCCTCTGACATTCCTTCCAACCCTGCATAATTAGACTCAACATGCTTGAATATTCCACTTATTTTATCTGGGCCTGGCTCACCAGCAGCACTGGGGAAGATAGCATTTAACATAGTGACCATCCACAACTAATGCTTAACAAATGACTGTTTGATCCAGTCAAAATTAAATAAATCACATGATAGTAATTCTCTAGAATACCTAACAAACTTGTTAAGCTATGCTTTAATGTACAGATGTTTGTAGTGTTTCTCAACTTTTTAACCTAGTTCTACTGTCTAGGATTTTGTCAAGTTTTACTTTCTATAAGAAGTCCCAAGAGTATAGTAGGTAATATTTTGCCTTTTAAAAAATATTAAGTGATATTATGCAATGCTATAATATTAAATTTGCTTTTTAAAACAACACATCCTTTCCAACCTGTTTTGGAGTTTGTGATATTCCTCCCAATCCCACCCACTTCTGCTGACTGTGGAAGGCCTAGAGAGATAAGTTCTTGAACTGTTTGTAGAGAATCCTTGGTTTATGGTGGGAGTTGTCACCTTGAAAGAGTCTCTCTGTCCTTCCTAAGACCAGAAATAACCAGGAAGAGTACAAATACATTAAGTTATTACATGTAATGAACAATGTTTTAAAAACTGCTAAATAATCTGACCTACCCATCTAGAAGGGCGATGACGTTTTTCCTGGGCCGCCCAATATTAGGGCCATACAAGCTGGCTCTGGAGTAAATCCGGATGGGTTGCAACAGGCTCTTCAGCTGGATGTAATCCTTTCCCAACTGGCTGCCATTTACTGCCCGGCCATGCATGGTCCGATAGTTATTTGGTTCTAGATTAAAAGCAGACATGCAAGTCAGAGTTGGGAAGAGTGAGGTTCTGCCAACCTTTTCCTAGCCACGGATTTCTCTCCCTTTTTTCTTAACAATGTAAACAAAATAACCAAAGGAGGGTACAAGCTAGCTTAACTTGAGAAACTATCCCAACAAAAAAGTCAAGTGCTATTTTATCATTTTTTTTATTTTCAAACTAATCTTCACAAAAGGTCATCTAATCCACAACAGAGAGACCATACTGATTTTCAAATGATAGTTTATAATAGACGGTATATTGAATTGAACAGTATCCCCCCAAATTAATGTCAATCCAAAACTTTAGAATGTTATCTTATTTGGAAATAGGGTCTTTGAAGAAGTAATTACTCAAGATGAGGTCATATGGGATTAGGATGTGCCCTAAATCCAAAGACTGGTGTCTTTATAGAGAAAGGAGAGGAAGATTCAGGTACACAAACACACAGGGAGGAAGCCCATGTGTCAATGGAGGAAAGAATTGAAGGGATACTGCTATTCCAAGGCTTGCTAGTAGCTATTAGAAGCTAGAGAGAGGCACTGAATAGATTCTCTCTTAAAGTCTCCAGAAGGAATTAACCCTGGAAATGCTTTGATCTCAGACTTCCTAAACTGTGATAGAACAATTATCTCTTGTTTTACACCACTGAGCTTGTCATGACAGGCCTAGAAAACTAATACAAATGGTAAGAATGGAAAGCTTCATAAAGATGAACTTCGTGTCAAAAATATAGAAAAATTTTAATGTTCAATTATAGCAAAGTGGCTGAGTGAAATAACTTAGAGTGAAATCCTCTCGCCCAGTTCCTATTAACTTGGTAGTCCTAAAAAGACAAGGAAAGTCCTAAAATCCAGCAGTTCCACTGATGGAAGAGCTAACTGGATTTGCAATGAAGGACATATCGCAGAGAAGGCCAACGTTTTGGTTAACTTGAGGTTTTGACACTGGTAGGGGCAAGAAATAGATCAGCAGACTCACAAGAAATGTAACAGGGAGATTTAGGGAGCAAGGAAATAACTGAGGATTTTGGTAAGCCCACAAATACCCCTCATAGTCTGGAAAGTTGTTCTCAGGAGGGACTAGAGAGGGCACTAGCTATCCACACATTCCCAGATGAATGTGAAACATAATATACTCATAAAGGACACATGTAAAGGCATGTCAGAAATTAAAAGCCAGTCAGATTTTCAAAATGCCTAAATTTTGAATGTGTTCACAAACCTATACACAGATCTAATGGTAAAGATGAAAGCTTTAACAGCTCAAGGTAAGCATAACCTCTGATCATTCATCACCTCACCATTAAGCTATGCCGACTCAGAGGCAACCCCTGGGAAGCTGGCTTCTACAATTAAAAAATAATTGAAAAATTAAAAAGAAATGAATAGATAGTAATAGCTACATGATGCAAGGGAGATGAACTCTATGGAACTAGTCCAGGAAGTGACTAAACAAACAGAAAAGAAACAACAAAAAAATCTCTGGAAAGGAGGATTTGGAATCCAGATTTGCTCCAACATATTAACTAAAATGTATAGTTTTCAACCACAAAAAATGACAACATGCAAAGAAATACGAAAGTATGGCCAATAAGCAAGCAAAAAAGTAAAAGGAACTATCTCTTAGGGAACTCAGATGTAGGACTTAGCAGACAAGGACTTCAAAACTGCTATTATAAATATGCTTAAAGAACTAATGGAAGAATAAAAAATTAAGGGAAAGTATTATTTTACTGACTAAATATAAATATAGAGATATTAAAAATAAATAAAGATAGAAATTACAAAAAATTATCAAATGGAAATCTTGGAACTGAAACAACTCTTCACATTTAGAACACAATGGAATTAGTAGCTGAATTTTTATCAGAAATAAGGCCAGAAGACAGTGAGATGATACATCCAAAATTCTGGGAAAAACATCAACCTACAATTCTGTATGCAGAAATCTATGCTTCAAAGCTGAAAGCAAAATGTAGATCTTCCCAGAAAAACAAAGGACAGAACTGGTTGTGAGAAAATCTGTCTTACAAGAAATAAGAAAGGATATCTTTTAGGTTGAAAGAAAATGACAGCAGATAGTGATTCAAAAGCACACAGAGAAATAAAGAACACCAGTGTATGTTAATATATGTGTGCTCTGACCATAATAGAATTAGACTGGAATTCAACAATGGAAAGAAATTTGAGAATCTATAAATATTTGGAAATCAGAAAAATAATCCATGAGTCAAAGAGGAAATCACAAGAAGAATTAGAAAATATTTTAATGAAATTAAAATGAAATATAATATATAAAAATATATAGGATGACACCAAAGGCACAATTCATGAAAGCAATAATTAAGAAACTGGACTTCATTAAAATTAAAAACTTTTGCTCTGCAAAAGGCAATGTGAGAGAATAGAAGACAAGCTAAAGACTGGGAGAAAATACAAAAGACATAGCTAATAAATGGCTGTTATTCAAAACATAGAAAAAGCTTAAAACTAACTAAGAAAACAAACAAACTGATTTAAAAATATGCTAAAGGTCTTAACAGATACTCACCAAAAAAGACATACAGGTGACAAACAAGTATATGAAAAAAGATGTTCTACTTTATATGTTATCAGGGAAGTGCAAATTAAAAACAACAGTGAAGTTCCACTATATACCTATTAAGAATGGCCAAAATTTGTAACACTAATGCCACCAAATACTAGCTAAAATATGGAGGAATTGGAGGAACAGAACTCTCATTTATTGCTGATGGGAATGCAAAATGATATGGTTACTATGGAAGTTTGGTGGTTTCTTACAAACAAAACATACTCTGAGCATATAATCCAGAAATCATGTGCCTTGTTTTTACACGGAGGATATGAAAACTTATGTCCTCACTTTGCCTGTACATGGATTTATGGCATTTGTATTCACAAGTGCCAAAACCTGGAGGCAAGCAAGATGTTCTTCAGTAGATGAATGGATAAATAAGCTGTAGTACAATCACACAATGGAATATTATTCAGCACTAAAAAGAAGTGAGCCATCAAGCCATGAAAGGTTCCATGAAGGAACCTTAAATGTATATCATTAAGTGAAAGAAAGTTTTAGTCGCTTAGTAGTATCCGATTCTTTGCAACTCCATGGACTGTAGCCCACTAGGCTCCTCCATCCTTGGGATTTTCCAGGCAAGAATACTAGAATGGGTTACCATTTCCTTCTCCAAGGGATCTTCTTGACTCAGGGATTGAACCTGGGTCTCCTGCATTACAGGCAGACTCTTTACTATCTGAGCCACCAGGGAAGCTGGTATTAAGTAAAAGAAGCCAATCTTAAAAGGCTGTAATACTGTATGATTCCAACTATATGATATCCTGGAAAAGGATACACTATACAGATAGTAAAAAGATCAGTGGTTGCCAGGGATTAGGGAGAGGTGGGAGGGATGAATAGGTGGAGCACAGAGGATTTTTAGGGCAGTGAATACTCCACATGATACTATAATGGTGGATACTTGTCATTATACATCTCAAACCCATACCATGTACTCATCAAAAGTGAACCATAATATAAACTATGAATTTTGGGTGATTATGACAGAGGATGAGGTGGTTGGATGGCATCACCAACTAGATGGACATGGGTTTGAGTAAACTCCGGGAGTTAGTGATAGACAGGGAGGCCTGGTGTGCTGCGATTCACGGGGTCGCAAAGAGTCGGACACGACTGGGTGACTGAACTGACTGACTGACTGATGATGTATAATGTAGGTTCATCAATGGTAACAAATGTACACTCTGGTGAGGGATATTGATAGTGGGGGAGGCTACGCAAGTGTGGGGGCAAGGAATATATGAGAAATCTCTGTACCTTCTCAGTTTTGCTGTGAACCTAAAACCATTCTTTTAAAAATTTTTTTATAAAAGTTAATTTGAATGTGAAGAGACACTAGGGATACACACGCAGAAGGAAGGCCATGTGAGGACATAGTGAGAAGGTGGCCATCTATAAGCCAAGAAGACAGTCCTCGGGGGAAAAAAGCTCTGCTGACACATATATGTTAGACTTTTAACTTTTTTTATTGGTTAGGGAAAAAAACAGTGCTTATAGCCTTATAGACTCCTATATTAGAAAATAAGAAAGATCGCAAGTCAATAATCTGTTTTTCTCTTAAAAAGAAAAAAAGAAAAAGAAGAAATAAAATAATAGAAATTAGAGTAGAAATCAATGATATAAAAAAGGAGAACAATCCACTGAAGTAAAAGTTGGTTCTTTAAAGAGATCAACAAAATCGATATAACCTTTGGCTAGACTAACCAAAAAATAGAGAGAGAAGAAACAGATGACCAAAGTTAGGAATGAAAGAGGAAATACTATTAAGGACCTCACATTAATTAAAAGGCTAAGGGACTACTGACACTTGCTCCTTGGAAGGAAAGCTATGACAAACCAAGACAGCGTATTAAAAAGCAGAGACAACACTTAGTCAACAAAAGTCTATATAGTCAAAGCTATGGTTTTTCCAGTAGTCATGTATGGATGTGAGAGTTCAACCATAAAGAAGGCTGTGAAAAGTGAAAGTGAAAGTCGCTCAGTCGTGTCTGACTCTTTGTGACCCCATGGACTACACAGTCAATGGAATTCTCTAGGCCAGAATCCTGGAGTGGGTATCTGTAAGAACTGTAAGAAGCTGTAGGAATGTAAGGCTGAGTGCTGAAGAATTGATGCTTTTAAACTGTGGTGTCAGAGAAGACTCTTGAAGGTCTCTTGAACTGCAAGGAGATCAAACCAGTCAATTCTAAAGGAAATCAACCCTGAATATTCACTGGAAGAACAGATGCTGAAGCTGAAGCTCCAATACTTTGGCCACCTGATGTGAAGAGTTGATTCATTGGAAAAGACCCTGATGCTGGGATAGATTGAAGGCAAAAGGAGAATTGGGCAGCAGAGGATGAGAAGGTTAGATAGCATCACCGACTCAATGGACGTGAATCT